GGGGGAAGGGGGGGGGCATAATAAAAAAAAGAATAAAGACTGGAAAATATGTCCTTAATTCACCCTGTTTGCAATGTCTCGGTGGCATATATGCTACTGAGGTTATTCAGTGCTTGGAGACTCTTGTAGTAATTGGCTGAATGCAGTAAATTGGAAGTTGAATTTTGGTTAGTGTTCAATCTCCAGTTGTTCTCTTCTTACTATTCCTTGAAAATATCTTTTCATTCCCTTTGTTTTGTTGTTGATTTTTTTTTTTTTTTTACTAACGGTGGTAAAAACCTGATAGAAATGTGAGGAACTGACCATACCAGCAACCACAGTAGCTATTTCTGAGCTGCTGAACCTGTTTTTTTAGATACAAATTAAACTTTTTAAGGAATATTATTTTACAGGGGTTTAAAATCAGGCTGTTTTTCACCAAAGATTTATGAAACTCACAAACCTGCTTTATCATATCAATATATGTTTAGAAAAAATGCCCAAATATGTGTCATTTTTACTTGACAGAAGGAGGTGGTCATTCCACAAAAGACATGGCGCAGACTATTATGGAATAAATTTCAAAGGAACTTTTCTAAAAGCACACTTTAAACTGTGTTCTACTATAGTTCCCAAACTAGCTTTTTAAAACTCCATCATATATCTACATGATGGAGTGGCTATGGCACTAACAGAAATATGAACGCTAGTTTCTTTGAAAAAAATAATAAAAAAGAAAAGAATTGAGCATGCGCAGTTGACATTTTCATCAGAGCTTCTTGGTTAAGGTGCCAGGTCTTTGAGAATTTTTGACCAAATTATTGATCTGTGTTTATAATGCAAACACTACTATTGCCTGTGGTTTTGGAAACAGAAATGGAGCTACCATAATGAGCAGATACAGCATTGCACTGGCTCAAGTAAGATTTTTGCATCTTGTTGTTGACATTTAACCCTTTGTCTTCTAGTTTTCTGTGATATCTGAAGGGCTACTATGTCCCAATATCAGTTTTTCTAAAAGTTTGCTTACAGCCTGACAGGCAAAGAAGTCCTCTCTACCTTGGATGGTTTCACAGCCAAGGCTGTCAAGGAATGGGTGAAAAGTAATTGTTTTCAAGTGTGCCCTTTTACAATCATTTGTTTGCTCTGGCTCTTTCACGAACAAAGGCTATTGTTGAACACATCCAACTAAACAAATAACTCATCTTGGGGTCCCTTTAACAGCTGCCTTAGTACAATGATCTATTTACATATTACCCTAAAATTGAAACCGAACTCTTTAATGACATAATCCAGCACTATAATACAGAAGAAGCATATGTTCAACCCAACAGCTGAACAATCTCGTAAGCATATGATTTTTAGACATAAATGCTTGTATATCAAATACGGCTTAATGCAGCGACTTATTTCACTAGTTGTTTTTTTTTCCTGTTAACATCCAAATTAGGCTGCCATTCTCAAACTAGATATGACAGAGCACACAAAACAGATGACAATATTCAACATAAAGAATTTCTGTCTGTTGTGTCGTCTTCTGTTTCTTCTTCTTTGCACCATTCTTTTTGTTGATAAACCAATTTAGTATGCTATGCTTTCCTGTGCATTCCAGGATTTATCTTACCTTTAGTCTACCCGTTTTACTTTCATGTGGCTAGAGATTAAAGGATGATCTTACAGATGTTGTAAATTAGTCAGCAGCAGGCATAATCATTATTAGGCATGTTGCAATAAATGTTTGGAAGTTTTACATATTTTCCAGAGCACAGTTAGTTTAAACCACTGCAGTTTGATGGTTTCACATACGACTTTAAAAATTGAAGCAGGAAATTCGTTTACATTTCTTCAAAAGACCAAAGCCATTGTCAACATTAAGGTCATTTTCAAAGTAAAGGTCCAGTCGAAGAAGCTTCATTCAAATAAGTTTTTCAGCTTTTGCTTAAAACTGGTTTAATATACTCCAGGATAAATACATTATCGATTTACTGAAATTCAGACTAGAAGGGTTGTCCTATCTCCCAGCCAGGACAGAGTTATACATCAGACCTCACACAGAGCAAATGTTACCACCCTGTTTTTCTTGAGCATTCTAAAAGTTAAATAACATCGTACTTGATTTTCAGATAATTGATTGACTCTCATTCCTTAATCTTCCGATTAGCTATTATATGACCAAGATTCATTCCAGAAATGACATGAGGGGGTGAATTCCTGTGGTTAATTCCTGGATAGCAGCTGCTCAGGGGGATTAGGATCCTTTTGTCTTAACTTTGAGGACTGAAATGTTGGCAAGCATTACTTCTCCTGTATCACCAGGCAACGTCAATTACGTTTTCCACAAGAAACAGTAAATTAGCTTTGCTATCCTGTAATTTTTTTTATTTTTTTTCCCCCTATTCACAATGCATTCTGGAGTCTTCCAGTAGAAGTACAGTTTTCTATCTGCATCACTGGAGTTAATTCAATAAACACTCTGAATATTTACCTAGAAATACCTCATGTTTACTTGTGCTTCTAAACACACCGTGATACTGCTACCACAAGAAAGCCTACTGCCTGAGATCAACTCCCTGATGAAAAAAATCCCATTTTTTTGCAAAGCAGGTGATACTACTGAATGTAAGCAAGTAGTCATGGTGCGCTTTCCTTCTTTCCTTTGGTAACAACGCCAAAATAGGTCATTTCATCCTTACTTTAGGAGAGTTCCCAGCTTCTTGGTGACATGATGTTCTTAAAAAGTAGTATTTATGGCTAGTGCTTTCAATCATCTCCTGTTGGCTTCAGTCTTTCTTCTATTTGGCAGACAATGACTTGACTGAATTATACAGGCCACTTCCCATCAGAACCACAACAGCGCAAGGTACCAGGGTCAGGATGTCACCATCCCTTAAGAAAGTCCAGCTAATGCAGAAGATTGCTTCGGCAGTGTGGATTACTGCAGGCATCTAAAGCCTGTTCTCTACCACCTGGACTGCAATCCTAGGTGGTATTAAGTCAAGTTCAAAGTTTTAGTTACTACGTATTTTGGTTATAGTTTATTGCAGTTGTCATTATATTTTTAGTTCTTGTTTTCAAGGCATTTTCCCCTAGATCTACCATATCTAGAACAACATCTCAAACTCAAGAAAGAAGGCTAAGGTCAGCAGTTCTGCTGCTATGGCCCAAGTGAGCAATCTAGCAAAAAAACCCCAACTTTTCCAGGAGGGAAACGATTCCCCAAAGAATTCTGGGCCAATGCAAGCCTTTTTGCCATGCATGCAACATGCATTTAATAGACTACTGTCTTCAAGACAGTGAAAAGAAAAAAAGAAAAAAAAGACAAACCCTTTCTAAAAGAAGTTGTGAGACAATTATATTCCCAAGAAGGGTCTGAAGAGAGATAATAAACCGTATGTGGCAGATGTTACTCACATTACCTAATTGCAGGTGCTATGAAGCCGAGGGTAGTCTGAGGACAGATAGTCTAAAGAACAGAACATTTAATGCATTCAATGGTCCTGGCAAATCTGGAGGAATTATTTTTGAAGCCAATGGCAGCTCTTCCAGCATAAGGTAGAAGCCAAATGATCTTCTAATCAGTGGTCCAGCTTCTGCCACTAAACTTGAGTACAGATTTCAGATGGGCTTTTGACAATACCTGTATGGTAAGACTAAATTTTCCAGGAAAGAGTTTGTTTTTTAAATTAAGGTTCCTTTAAGTAGGATTTTGTGTAACTGTACAGGGCATAGATTGTGTAATATTTTGAGTATATCTGTTTAAAAACAATGGAGAATGCATTTCTCTCAACTGTGTGAGGTTTATGCAACTATGATCCATAAATGAAAAGCTGAGTTCAGAACTGTGTTATCAAAGTACAGCATCCTAGAAGACAGCCAAGCTAAGAGACGGCGTTCTCAAACACATAAAGAGTCTTCGGGCACCGAAAAACTTCCTTTATCAAAAGTAATTTTGATAATTCCCTTCAGTGTTGTGTTGCAAGGGAATGACATTGGAAAGTCCTTCTACAAATCAACTCAGAGATATGAGCTACAGCAAAACTGTGCCAATATTTTCAAATGGGCTATTTGCAAATATTTACAAATTTTACAGAGTACAAATATTTACCGCATTAATATTTCTTGATATAATTGTCTTACAGTCTTTGCTTATAACTGCATTAAACAAATAGCAGAAGGAACCTGAGCTTTGTTTTTGCCTTGGATCAGATTCAGTCCCTCTCAACTGAGAACACATTTCCCACTACCCACCATTGGGATGAATGATCAAAAAACAATCCATGTGGTTAACAATAGATTAACAAAGTGCACTGCATTCAAAGACTAATAAAGACGACTATGCTGGTTTCCATTATTTTTCACGATTTGATGACATTGCGCTCCTTAGGCTCCTGTGTTTACTTAAACACATCATCAATCGTGGTTTCGTGCTTCTTCAAGTACTATGCATAATGTATGCTCTTTTTTTCAGGACAAAATTACAGTTTCAATAATGAGACAAAACAAGATGTTATGAACAAATTCTACTTTTTCACTTGTAAAAAGGCACGCCTGAAAACATACAGCTTGTCCCACCTCCAAGGAGTTTGCATTAGAGAGAACAAAGAGTAGAGCAGCATTTAAGGCACGAAAAATCTCAGGCACCTGCTGAACTTCACAGCAGTCATTTCAGTAGCCAGACTGTGGTAGCATTCAAGATACTTAATAGATACCTAGATGTGATTTTACTGAGGTGTTTCGATGGTAGAATTTTAAATTTTAGCCTTGAAATACTTGAATAGGTCACCTTACAAGTTAGTTTCTTACATATTTCTCGTAAGAGAAGTGGGTAGGAGGCCTGCTGCAGTAGCTCCTCTTTGTATAAATGATCTCTCTAGTTCAGAGATTCTACGTGATTAAGAGATTGCGGGCGTGAGTCCATAAAATAACTTGAGTGCTATTATTCTTATCTGAGAAAGAGAAGCAAGTGCTTAAAAACTGACTGTACTAATGACATATTGCACATTACATAGTAATAATTTTTGCACTTCTGAAGCAGTGACATGAAACATGATGCATTTATACTAACCGTGTCGGTTCCGCTAGCGTTATTTATTACGTAAGATCATGCAATCTTTTTTGTGTGTGTGTGTGTGTGTGTAAGGTGGGGAAGGAGGTCATATATTTATTTGTCTCTGGTTTGTGGCTTGCAGATACTTTCTGTTACCAACAACACAGAATGTGCGAAGCTACTGGAGGAAATCAAATGTGCACACTGCTCACCTCACGCTCAGAATCTATTCCACTCACCTGAGAAAGGGGAAACACCTGAGAGAGAACTAACTCTTCCCTACCTGTGCAAAGACTATTGTAAAGAATTCTATTACACTTGCAGAGGTCACATCCCAGGTAAAACCTACGACAAAATACGGGGCTAAAGGATGTCCGTTTTGAAATGTTGATATTGCCTGAGCGGTCGTAGCTCTTCAGTAGGTAAAATCCCCAGGGATTTTGCCCAAGCCAAGAGGGAATATCTCAGGGTCTTCACAGCAGACCTTATGTAGTGAGGTAAATACTTTGAGGGCTTTCTTGCCAGCCTCGTGTTACATTCTCCATGAAACACGGGATTATTTGTTGTCAAAGGCACCTGAAGCTACTACCTTTGCTGAATATCAGCATGTTCATTCAAATAATGTAAATAAGTAGCTGGCCATCCAAAAGGCTGTTCTAAATCATAGATAGCTTTAAAACGCAAGTAATAAAGGATGCTGGCTATTTGGGGTAGACTCTAAAAGCTAATGAGTAAAGTGTTTTTTCTGGTTTTGTTACCCTAGAAACTGACGTTTTTTCCACAGGGTTTGAAGCCCATTGAACTCAAAGGGAGCTATTCGATAGACTTCTGTGATCTTTGAATCCCTTCCAACATGCTGTTAACAACCAAATTCTTAACTAACCTAACACTTCCTCAGCGTAGTCAGTAGAGTTAGCCGGACATAACCAAAACCAGAATTTGACCTGTGTTGTCTAAGACAGTCACCAAATGTGTGCTATCACTTGTAACTATATCAACAAAAATAACCACAGAAGATGGTTCTTTTAGAAATACTGTCTCAATACACCATTGTATTAAATAACAACTTTGGTATTCTCAATAGTAAATTATTTATATGTTTAAGACTGTCATTTTTAAACTATGCTTTTTTCCCTGTCCAAACACTACTTATAAATAATGCCACACAGGAGAAAATAATTAAACTGGTTAAGATTATTTTTTTTTACTAGCAACACAGACTGGGAAAAAAGAGTTGATAACGATATGAAAAATGAATTTGTGAATAGTTATATTTGACATATGAACACAGCTTTGTAATATAATATAAACATATTTGACTAAAGGGGATAGTTTAAGTGGATGAGATTTGGAGGAGGGTTTTTTAATTGCGTCTGTACAGTGTGTACTTGTTTTCTCTGAAATCCCAAGGGTGCGGGGATTTTTTTTGCAGCGTTCCTTTATTGACTTGAGAAAACATTTTGAACTTACTTACTTTTTCCCTTTACTGTGGTTTAACATGTATCTCAACCCATTCAAATATGAAAATATTATTATTGTCTTTATAAACTAAGAGATGTTTCTAAGGCTTTCTTAAACCAGCTGTTTCTTGCTCTTTATCACATTCCCCAAAGCAAAGCAGAATAGATCACAGTTGCCAAGACTGCCTGCTGAACAGCGATAACAGATTAGATATTCTAAATGTTTGGCCCATATAAGAAGTCAGCACAAAGACTTTTTTTGACATGAGTTTGTAGCTCGCGCAAACGATTAGCATATTCCGCAGAGCAAGTCCCTCAGAGTTGTTTTGCGAAATTCTGTGTTTCTGAGGAAACAATTTGTTTAATCGGAAAAAAAGTGAAAGAGGGAAAAGGGAGAAAGAAGGAGGAGGCAGAGGGAGGGAGAGAGAATGAGAAAAGGCTGAGCAGCACAGGAGCCATAGCCACAGGAACCTCACTCCTCAGATCAACATATGTGGTGACGAATGACAAATTTATTTTTCTACAAAGTTTGTGTATATGTAAAACTGCTGAAGTGCATCAAGATGTCAAGTGCTTTTTCTGACCACCCAGGTTGCCTTGAAAGATAACCAGATGAAAGCATAACTTTAGCACTGGACAGAGCACTGTGCTTTGCAGGAACAGAGCTTACATACTTTAGCGTCAGTTAAAATAAGATTTTTCCTACATCAATCAGATGCTAATAATCATTCTAAATACTCGTTCAAAAAGTGGATTGGGCTAACAAAAAGTTGTTGCCTTCTTACCTCCAACAACAGGGTTAATTTGGTGACTTGATTGGCACATACGGTTGTTGAAATCTATACTAGTATTGCCTGAAGGTATTATTTAAGTAAGATTTGGGTCCCTCTTTTTGAGGGATGCCTTACAGGATTTTAATATAGTTTAATAGTCTTATACATTCTAAAATATAATTAATTACAATAACAACTTATTTGGGTTTTCTCTTTTACTTGTGAGACCTATATATCCATAATAATATTTATTGCAAAAGAAAGGAAAAAATAGAAAATATGGAAACTAAGTTTTCAGTTTAGCTTGGAGGATTAAACAAAGAGTTGGAAATTAACAGGCCAGCAAACCCAAGGTCTCTGGGAATGATTCACTGCACCATTGTTAAAAAGTCAAATAATTACTCTTTCTCCATTAGGGAGTGCTAATTGTTTCTGAACACCAATACAAAGGAGTTGAAGGAAATTGCTGACTACAAAAATAATTTTATCCCTTAAGTCCTGCACCAGTGAGAAATATTAATAGCAACTGAAGAGAGCAAGCATCTTTTATGGAATTGAAATTTTAGCAGTACGTATTAACCAAGATGACTGAGAAATTATACATCAGGTTTTTTGATGAGTTAGCTCCAGAAATTCATTTATTGTTCTGTCTCTTTCTACAAAGACGAAAACTCTAGCTGATTTTTGGTTAACTCTTTTGAAGACAGCAGTTTGCCCACCAGTTATAACTATCAGAACTTCCACTGATTTCTTTGGACATATCCAAAGAAAAAGTGGACTCAATTTTTTACTCAAACAGAATAATGACAATAGCTGTTAGGATTGCATGGATGTGTCACTGCAGGATGGTGTAATGTGTCACAAAGTCTGTAAGAACTACCCTGCTTCATCCCAGGTGACCATTCTCATTATTTCTCATCTATCTTTACTGTGAGCCTCAGTTTAAGTGATTACTGATGGGGACGCCGGAGTTAAGTGACTTAATGAAGTATCTTCAAGCAATATGAACTTTAAGGTTTTCCAAGGTCATAGAATCAAAGAATCATTTAGGTTGGAAAAGACCTTTAAGATCATCCAGTCCAACCATAAACCTAACACTGCCAAGTCCACCACTAAACCAGGTCCCTAAATGCCACATCTACACATCTTTTAAATACCACCAGGGATGGTGACTCAACCACTTGCCTTGGCAGCCTGTTCCAATGCTTGACAACTCTTTCAGTGAACAAATTTTTCCTAATACCCATTCTAAACCTCCTCTGGCGCAACTTGAGGCCATTTCCTCTTGTCCTGTCACTTATTACTTGGGAGAAGAGACCAACCCCCACCTCGCAACAACATCTTTTCAGGGAGTTGTAGAACACGAGAAGGTCTCCCCTCAGCCTCCTTTTCTCCAGGCTGAACATCCCCAGCTCCCTCAGCCACCCCTCATAAGACTTGTTCTGTAGACCTCCCACCAGCTTCGTTGCCCTTCTCTGGACACCCTCCAGCACCTCAATGTCTTTCTTGTAGTGAGGGGCCCAAAACTGAACACAACACTTGAGGTGCAGTCTCACCACCATTCTCTGGGCCTGGCCCTCCAGCCAGTTTTTCACCCAGCAAAACATATGCCCATCCAAACCATGAGCAGCCAGCTTCTCCAGGAGAATGCTGTGGGGAACGGTGCCAAAGGCTTTACTAAAGTCCAGGTAAACAATATCCACAGCCTTTCCCTCATGCACTAAGCAGGTCACTTGTCGTAGAAGGAGATCATGTTAATCAAGCAGGACCTGCCTTTCATAAATACTTGCTGACTGGGCCTGATCACCTGGTTGTCCTGTACATGCAGTGTGATGGCACTCAAGATGGTCTGTTCCATAACCTTCCTGAGCACTGAGTTCAGACTGACAGGCCTGTAGTTCCCTGGATCCTCCTTCTGGCCCTCCTTGTAGATGGGCATCACATTTGCTATCTTTCAGTCAACTGGCACCTTCTCGGTTAGCCAGGACTGCTGACAGATGATGGCAAGTGCCATCACTTGGTGAGCACTTCTGTCAGCTTCCTCAGTACTCTCGGGTGTATCCCATCCAGCCACATAGACTTGTGTGTGTCTCAGTGGTGTAGCAGGTCGCTAACCATCTCCCCTTGGATTATAGGGGCTTTGTTCTGCTCCCCATCCCTGTCTTCTGGGTTGGGTACCCAGAGAACAACTGTTCTTATTAGTAAAGACTGAGGCAAAGGCGGCATTAAGTACCTCAGCTTTTTCCTCATCCTTTGTCACTATGTTTCCCCTTGCATCCAATTAAGGGTGGAGATTGTCCTTAGCCCTCCTTCTTGAAGAATGTCCAGCCCTCCTGGACTCCTTTGCCCTTCACGACTGCCTCCCAAAGGACTCTGTCAACCAGGGACTTGTCATCATTGCCTCCATGCCTTCAAGTCACCGAATTCAGCCAGGTGGGGAGAAGAAATCAGTTTCAGGTGATTGTGGGTGAATTGAGACCCAGGTCCAAATCTGAACCCAGGCATTACCAGAAGGGATGTTTGATATTGATTTTTTAACTCCAAAGGGGGGCACCCCAACCCAAAATGCTGGAAATCTAAGAAATTCTGCAACCAACACAACACTTCCAGAAGTTCTGACATAGTCAACTGTCACAGCCAACACAGTCAACCTGCAGAAAAACAGGAGTGGCTCATAATGTTGTTACTGCTAAGAAGAGCATCGAGGGGATTAACCCTGGCACAGCCTGAGTGCTGGTAGATTCAATGTGCGAGTATGAGAAGGGGGCCACTAGTCACTTGAAAACCAGTAGGAAGTGAGGTGAGCTACCACCCAACTTACTACATTTTGAAAGAAGCAATCTGGAATCGCCTCTTTGATTTAGTTTTCCCTGAGAGTTGAGAAGAGAGAGGAGAATGTGGGTCTTGTGAACAAATTCACATCCAGCTGTCAAAAGCGCAAATCGGATAAGAAAAAAGAAAAACAAAAAACAAACCAGGAAAATGCTTTTTTCTTTACACAATATTGAACTGTATGCTCAGAGCCAATACTAGCAGGAATAAAGCAGGTGAGCCTGATTTGCACTGATTTCTAGATGCTCTCAAAGCCAGTGTAGGTCTCCTTAGATGAGTGGATGATGTGTGCAGTGCAAACAAGAAAAGGGGGAAATAGCAACTTGACTTGCTCTAAAGACGGGAGACAAAGGCTACCACAACATCTGAGTTGTATAGCAAAGAGAAGAGGCAGGGAGGATGAGGAAGCAGGGAATCCAGAGAAGTGGAATTTGGTGAAGGTAGGACAGGAAGGAAGATACAGCGTGAGGAATAACTGACCGCAAATACAGGCGGAGAGAGGAGGTGAGGATCAGCTGAGAGCAGATGTTTTCCTTCGAGAAGGCTTGAAATCACGGAGCTTATTCCACAGTTTTTTATAAAGGCGAAGACAGAAAGCCTAAGACAGAAAGTTTTAAAAGCATGGAAACACAAGCCTGTGCAAAATCTGACATCTACAACACTTACAAACATTATGTTTAATCTTCCGTTGTGATTTCAGTTCTCTTTGTTAAGGTGGGCACTGCTGTATCAGCACATACACAACTGGTAGGAAACTACATATGACTCTTTTAAAATAGTATGTACAGAAATTCACATAGGACCCAATGTAGCCCTCCTAGTTAGGGATCGTTCTCATAAAGGGCAGTGACAGAGCTCTATTTGAATAAACTCAAACTGAGCAAAATGATCTTTTTTTTTTTTCCTCCAAACAATTCTAGTGCTTAGGGGCACTTGTCAGGGACCATTCTTCTGGACACTGTACAAACACTGAACAAAATGGCAGATTCTACACTAAAGACTTTAAATTCTAAGCACAATAAAGAAAATATTAAATGGCTACAAGCAGATAGGGAAGTGGAAGCAAATGTTTTTCTGTCTTTAGTGAAGCTGTTACTATGTTGAGTCTAGCCTACATAACACAAGCAGATTTTCTTTTTTTTTCTCCAAATTACTATGTTTTTTATAGAACCAAATTCCATCCCTAATACACAGGTGAAACTGTATTTACAGAGGTTACATTCCTTCCAATAACGCAACATTTTAGCAATTTATTGACTGATTTTCATAGTTTAATTCAAACCGCATTTTTTATGAGCATTTCTAACAAAAATGGAACATAAGCCTTATCCTTTGTTGGAAGCTGCTGATGTGTTTGTTAAATAGCAAAAGGCAATGGCAGTGCAACCTGTACTTGAGTGCATGATAAAATATTTCATAAGGAAAAGGGATTAGTCTTACATATAAGAAAAGGCATTGCAGGAGCCATTGGTCAAGTGAGTTTACATCTGATTGTTATTTGAGATGAACATGTACCAAGTAAACAGTATGATCAGAATATGCTCTCAGTTTTTCTGACTAAAGATAACATTCAAGCCAAGAGTAGTTCAGTAAATAGTAGATGGTGTATATATATATTATATACACATTGAGAAAATTCTAGAAATTTATAGAAATTGTACACCTCTAATTTGCTATTGCATTTTCTCGAATGACCCACTGTGTCTAGAGGAATAAATTATTAAAGACAAAACTGTGTATTCTTAAATCAAATAATTCAACAGAAAGATTTTAGATTACCTTTGATTTTGGCATTATATTTACAAGGCTTGGAATAGTATTCCATGATTATATCAGAGTTCCTCTTCAGTTGTTCCACTTGAAATCGTATCTCCCATTTTCTCCAAATAACTACTATAAATTAAAACCAGCTCCTCAGAGATGATATTTACTGAAGCTCCAAATCATGGTAATTAAACTTTTACACCACAACATACTACCATGTGTTTCCAGAGATTATTTTATAGAAACCAAAGGCAGGCTTTGTCGTGTTATTTTTCCAATATTTTTAAAGGAAGATGCATATGAAAAGAAGTATAGTTGGGCGGGAAAGGCTTTCCACTCCACAAAAATTCTGGGATCTAAAAAATTTTCCTATTCCACATAAGGAAGAAATTGAACTCTTTCGAAATTTTCCATGAAGAAAGCCACAGAGAGACCACCCCAGGATAGCTAATAAAGTTGTTCTTAGGACATTTACTTGGGAAATGGGAGACTTAGGGTCAAACTGTTGCCTGACAGATGAGAGGCATTGACCTGAATATTCCTCTTCCTAATGAAACACCCTAATTACAAGACATTGGAGTATAATGATAGGAGGTTTGCTGTCTGTTTCTCTCTTTTTCATTTAGACCAGAAGTTTGAGTTTGGACCAGAAACTTCATGTTAACTAACATTTTGTCAAAACTGATAGTGTTTCTGAAAAAGCTTTGCTTTTAAGAAATTGGCATTTTCCAATGAAACACAGCTGTCCCTGATCAGCTCTTACTGTACGTTGTAAGCCAGAGGTTTTATGGCCAAGATCTATGGATTACTGCATTATTCACAAGTGGTAAAGCCATGCATAAATTAGGCCTCTAATTCCAATTAAGTGCTAATTCTGTGTATCCTATGAGTTATGTCCTGGACCATAATACATCCTAATGCAGTACGCCAATAATGCAAAGAGGAATGAAGGTAACTTAAGACATATTATCTTAACATCTGTTTTAGTAAAATAGTACATGTATAACCAGCCAGATTCTATCTTCTTAGATTTAATACTATTGATTAAAAACTGGATAGAAATGACTAGAATTAGGTTTGTGGACAGAAACAGACATTTTTGCTGTCATTAAACATAGCGTAGTATCAGTCGTGGCAGGGTTTTACCTCAAAGGCTCTTATTTTACTAACTTCTTATTGGTAAAACTCCTTCCCATTTTAACCTAAACCCTAAAGACCACCTTCCATCTGAGTCAGCCACAGGAGTAGGAGCCATATTCCCCTTTTTCGGGGGATCTGGATGAGGAAGCAGACCTGTGTCCACCAGCTCTAACGCTGGGAGTCAACCAGAGGCCAACTGCATGTCAACAGGGTGCAGTTTTCAGCTGTACTTCTCACTTTCTGAGGCAACTAATTATTCACCTCACCAACTGATATGTCCTTTGCTGCCAGCGTTCCACAAAGTCTTGACTGCATGTCTTACACCCGAGTCTTGAGTGAAATTTTTACTACAACAAGCCACTTCAAAAACAACAAAAAAAGAAAAAGTTAAATGAAAGCTGCTCAAGCTATTTTACAGCTGATATTATACTTAACGGGGTTAGAAACAGGGGAAAGTGTATCACAGTCTCAACTCTGAACTTTGTCTCTTGATTTTTTAATGAGTGAACTGTAGTGACATTTCGAACGAATTGGTATTTTTATTTAAGGACACTGAAAATAAGGTTTAATACAAATACAGATGAATAAACTATAAAAGGTTATACTTGGTTTGTATTTATTCAGAGCAGGCCTTTTTTGCAGATAGCGCTTTGTTTAAAATGACTTCTTTTTCCGCTCAATGTATAATCTATTTAAAGATTAGTTTGACGGCACAGAACTGCAGACATGACAACACGCTAAATATTTGTATGCTCTTTTGCATTTTGAAGGTTTTCTCCAAACTACAGCTGATGAGTTTTGCTTTTACTATGCAAGAAAAGACGGTGGCGTCTGCTTTCCAGATTTTCCAAGAAAACAAGTGCGAGGGCCAGCGTCTAACTCCCTGGACCACATGGAAGAGTACGACAAAGAGGAAGAGATCAGCAGGTTCATAAAGATAAATGCTGTTTAATCTGAAAAAAAAACCCGAGCAAAGCCTGTGGTTTTCACAGTGAAACAGCTCAGTGTGTGCTTATGCTCAGCAGCTGTGTTTTCCAGATGTTACTTTCTTTTGCTGCTGCGAGTGTATACGTCAAAAGAGAAAGTTCCATTAGCTTCAATATTTCAGTGCCATTCAATATTTGCCTGGCTGAAAAGGTGTCAGAACCCTGGTTTGATCCACCCTGTGGATCTTGGTTATGGTCCACCCTCTGGATCATACGTAGTTCTAGGAAGTCATTTCTACCTGAATTTAATATTACTAAAGAACTACAATAAGTTTATTCGTAAAGTATTTACTTCGTGATTTTTCAATTTATTATTTCATTCATGTGGTTTTCGTTGTGAAAATAACTAACTTAGATTGTCCCATCATCAGTCATTATTTTTAAATGGGTTTTAAAAGGCAGATTTTGTCAAATTGCTGGAATTTACTGTGTTTTACAGTAAATTTACAGAAAATTTATCTATGGAACTATATTTATAAATTGTTTTCCTTTTTTTATACCAATTTTTTTCTCCCCTATTCCTCTACGTTTCAGATCTAAGACTAATTTTCTCTTTCTTGTATACCTACTAAATTTTGCTCAAGTCACATTCAAATTAATTTCATTATCTGCATGCATTCACGGAAACAGTTTATTCTGGATTGTATAACGGTGGTTTTAATATCACTTTAGAAAAACAATTTTATCTTTTAGGGACTTTGTTGTGTGATGGTTATTAGAAAAAAGAAATTTCTCACCATTTTTTAAAAATTTTTTTAGAAAACACAAGCACAACTGCTTCTGTATTCAGGAGGTTGTAAGTGGACTAAGGCAGCCTGTTGGAGCAGTACATTGCGGGGACGGATCCCAGCGCCTCTTTATTCTTGAGAAAGAAGGATACGTGAAGATTTTCACTCCTGAAGGAGACATACTCAAGGAACCTTTTTTGGATATACACAAGCTTGTTCAAAGTGGAATAAAGGTTGGATTTTTTTTTTTTACTTATCTATCTATCTACCCTCTAAATTTAGGCGTGTGGGATGTGTTGGTGCAACAGCTTCCATCGTGTTTAATGGGAAAACTTTTCACAGTCAGGGGAGGGAATGGTGAAGGGGCAGTGATGGGAATATATTGCAGGGTGGAGGTAATAAAAATGACATCTCCGTATGGGGTAAGTACCACTGGAAAACTCCTAAGTCTGTTGGGGAATATCTTACTTTGGAAATGTCATAAGTGTGATTCCATGTTGATTTCTTGTCGCATTTTAGAGTGGTAATGCAAGTAAAAAATATATATAAAGCAAATTTAAATTGTAATCAGGTTGTGCCTGGAACAGCCAGCACTGTGTATCATAAAGCCTTCATGGATGAAAGATACTTTGACATACTATTGACAGAGTAATCTTAAATAATAATTGTGACAAACTATATTGATTTAAAATGCCTAGCGCATGCTAACTAATAATGTTGTGCTTCAGCTATAAGGGTGGTAAGCCAATTTCAGATAGTGTTTTCTGAGAGGATGTCTCAGAGATTTTTGGGTTGTGTTGAAAGAGAGAGAGAAATGAAATACATGGCACCTTTTACAGGAAAAAAACCTATTTTATATGATTCTGTGAATTGCTGAACACTTCCCTTTCTGGCTCTGTAGGTAACCATTATGTTCAAGATACCAAAACAGAAAAGACTTATATGGGGTATTTTTGAACATCAATATAAGGCTGTTTCATATTTCTTAACTGAAGATTCTGATAGTTTGTACTTGTGAAAAACTGACACTGAAACTTTCCACAGAACTGCTATTGGTCCCAAACAAACTTTTACAGCTGGAACTTAGAGGCAAGGCTGAATGGAAAACTGATTTTCCATGCTTCTGAATGGGCAATGGCTTGGTTGATAAGACTCTCAACAGCTGCCCCCAGACTCAGATTCAACTTTTATTTATGTTTTAAATCATTGACCTGATCTCTTTAGTCTTTACTACCCTAACCATCCTATAGTACTCTAAATGCCGTTTCAACTATAACATTTTCTGTAAATAATTTGAAGTTCTCTAAGCTAGAAAGCCTAATTCAATTCCCTGAGATAAGTAAATAATTTGAAGTTCTCTAAGCTAGAAAACCTAATTCAATTCCCTGAGATAACAGTTCAGTGACTGAGGATAATTGTATTGCAGTGTGTGATACAGGCTGGCAAGAAGGGAGGCTTTATGTGCTTCACAGGTAAGGAGAAAGGGAATGTGCCTAGAAGCAACACTCCAACTCTTACACAGCAAGGGGAAAGTACAAGAATTTGATAGATAAGTACATTATTTAAAATAATAAATAAATACAATAAAACAAAACCCACATAATCCAATTGGTTGTTCTAAAACAAAGGTTCTTGAACATTTTTATATTTATCCCCCACAGTTTGATTCTTGTAATCATTGTGGTCTTTTTACCCATACGACTGCAAGGTCACTGCGACAATGGTAGCAATTATTCCATCAAACTTCTACTTGAAGGGTATTTGATTTTACTCTACCTGTTATACACTTTAAAACTAGAAATCAGTAATGGAGAATACTGTGTGGACAGACAGTTTTCCAGCAGGCAGTGCAGATAGTGTACAGCCAGCAAGGAGAAAAACCACGTCTAAAACACACCAGAAAAGGGCAGTGCAGATAGTGTACAGCCAGCAAGGAAAAAAAACACGTCTAAAACACACCAGAAAAGTGTGAGAATCACTGAATGCATCCTCAGTGCCTGCTTAATAAATGCTTGTAGTGTAAGGTAGATGAATTTGTACATCTATATTTTGCTTCACGTGCCTGATTCTTCTCATATAGTGGTGTAAGTAAAAAAGGAAAATGAAATCAATGAATTTTTAGTTGTCTCTGACCAAACTTAGGCTCATATATTCCAGTGAAGTGTTTTGCCTCAGTAACGTGTTGCCTTTTTTGAGTTCCCTGTTCATTTATGCTGATTTATAGATGTTAACCCAAATACCTAGTCAATTCCTGTATAGCATCATCCGTATAATGTTATTCTTGAATTAAGGTAGAGACTCTTCATTAAAGTAAACAAAAGCGGTTCAGCTCTTTTCCAACCTTGAAGCAATGGCAGCAAGAAAAGGCAAATGATTCTTTTTCCCTAAAAATAAGTGTGAAAATTTTTCCCTTATATCCAGGTGTCTGAAAATAGTTTTTCTTAATTTTTTTTTGTATCTGAAATACAAATACTTAGCTCTAGTGACAATAGTAAAAATATTTTTTCAAACTTTTATAGATACAAGCTGTTTCTGGTAAATAACAATAATAATGATTATGCAGCTGTGATTGAATGAAAGGTAATTTAAATTGATGCTTCTGAAAAGAATTTTGGACATCTATACCAGTAAGGTATTTCTAATGTTGATAGATGGAGTAAAATAATGGTGGTTGATCTTTTCTTTTTCTAATGTAAACAGGAAATTTAGGGGTGATAAAATCATTATATTGTCACAAAGCAGCAAATCTGTTGCATGATGATTTTCCAAAGAATATACTTGAGGCTGATATAACGAAGAAACAGAAGTGATGTATTTCCTTCATAAAAATAGTCCTGGGCTTTAGTTCTGATCTCACTAATACCATTTTGCTGATCACAGCACTGGCAGTCAGATCAGGAGGAAAACCATGTACAAAAAACAGAGGAGGAGAGGTGACTGCACTGTATAGCAATCAGCTGTGGGACCCTCCTGAAAGGATGCTGGTTGGTTCCTCTGAACTAACGGTCCCTGTATTGACGAAATTCAGCCCCTAACATTGCTGTGAATGAGCTTGTAGGGCTTCTTCACTGGCCCCGCTAACCTAAGGACATAAATAGCATTATCTGGAGTTGCTTCTTGTCAGTCACCCCATGAAGGTCTGGGGATATAAATGGAAATTGAGTAAGAGGAGCGGTATGACCAGGTGCATATGGTTTATTGGTCTGTTGGCTTTTGGTGTTCATTGAAGTCATTGAGGTCTCTGCTTGAATATTGTTCCTGCAGTAAAATCTGCTGACATTTATTTGATTTAATTTTAAGGAGTTCAAATGAAAGAGAAGAAGTGATAATTTTATATGCTGCCAGTATCTCAGAAGGAATTAGCACAAGCATGTGGAAGTATTTCGTAACAGAGAGAGATGCCCTGAATGGATGATGGTAGCTTGTGCTTCCTAGAGGCCCTACTCAAGAGAAAATTAGATGCAGGAATCCTGAAGGTTTAAAAAAAGAAAAAAAAAAAGCTCTGAAAAGCTTAAGAAACAATTTTTCTCTGCGCATCTCCCAGGTTCTAATCCTCTTTGACAGCACAGTTAGCAGGAATGTTTTTTTGATCTTCTTTTTTTGAACTTAGTTGTTGGAAGCCATGAATGCATCTTAATGTAGAAGTTGCTAATTCAACATCTTTGTCCCTCTCCAAGGTGTTTTATGTCAGGCTGGCTGCATAAGTATTGTATTATGGGTGGATGGATTGGGCACTTGGCCACGTCCCTCCTGGCACCCTTAGCCTTTTCTTCCCTGTCTCAAGGATGTGGTGAAAAGAAGGAAGCTGTGCACCTCAGTCTTGCCCCAAAGTTGAGTAAGGACACGAGTGAGATACGCACCTGTAACTCAAATCTAGGACGTGAACCTGGGCTCAACTATTTAAGAATATATAGCCCCGTGTAGTGGAGAAAATACTGGTTCCATCACCTGTGCCCATTAATACTACAAAGTACGCTGAGTGTGTGGCATGTATGGAGAACAAAAGAATCAGCATTTACCAGAAAAAAACCTTGAAAATCTGCTCCCCGGGTGATTTACTGCTCCATTATGTTGTGGTGAAGAGAGTTGTTAGCTACACAGCAACTTTTTACAGTTCTTCCTTCAAAGTTATGTAGCAAAGACAATTTTTTAATGAAAACATTAGTACCCGTTTTTTCTTTCAGGCTGATTTTCACTACTCTTATTTTCCTTTTCTTTTAAACTATTGCCAAGTAGAAGAGAGGCAGAAAGTTTGAATGAGAAGCAATTGGTAATATTTTGATTGCAGCGGCATTTAAGGAGACCTTAATCAATTATCAAGAAAAAATGGTGATGAGGTATTGGAATCTATTGTCAGAAAGTTAGGCAAAATAATTAAGTGCTTTAAAAGTATCAGGCAAATACGATTTTATCCCATAACGCACTCAGCAGGAAAAAAAAGGATCAAAACATGATAAATACTTAAATCTAATGATTTCTTGAGCTGTAGCAGTGCTGAATATGTTATTATTACAAGATCAGTCACCTTGTACTCAAGACTGTGTCTAACTTACAGAAAAATGCTGAATTCTCTAGCAGTTCTCCAAATTCCTTACTCCTGTGGCTGTATTTTATCTTATTAACTGTATTATTTCCTAAGATCTGGAAACCTTTGGATTAGTAGCAGCCACCATAAAATGTAACTCAACCTATTACATCAATTTTCACTCACTCTCTTGCCTCCTGAGTCCAATAATATGTATTAGTCTAAAATATATTGGTCTAAAACGTATTGTTCAGAAGGGAAGGAATCAAGGTATGATTTGGCAACAACAAAAAAGGAAGAGCTTGCCACTTCTCTTGGGAGTTAAATGCTATTTAACCTTCCAAAGTACTTTCTGAAAAGTTAAGTAGCTCTCGGGCTGCAATTGTTAGTCCTTAAATCATTTTTGTGGTCCTTCCCTACAATCATTCAAATTTCCCAACATCCTTTTAAAATGAAGGACCTCAGAACTGTACAAAGTAGCCAAGTTCCCATCTTACTACTGCCAATGGTAAAATCACGGCCCGGTAGCTACATGGTAGTTTTCTACTTATAAATCCACCAACTGAATTAGCTCTTTAGGTATGGAATTGCAGTTGGGCTTCACGGTCAGTTGTTTGTCACCTCTGATCCTCAAGTTATTTTTAGTTTATTGCTACTTTTTTTGATTTTGAGCAAGCTCTGGTGTAGCTCTGCTGGATCTGCTGACTA